GAACCTGCCAGGAGCCCGCCCGCGAGACGGCCTCGTGTGTTTATTTCATTTTTAATCTCAAGAGAAAGACGAGTTAACATCACGGAAATGAAGGTTATTTTTGAAGTGAAACAAGCCGCACCGTCCCTGAAGGAGAGAAGGGGCAGAGAGACGGGGCGGCGGTGCCGTGGAGCCCTCGCTGTTACAGACGCTGCGTCGCGGCGCGGGTCCCCAGTGACCCGGACGTCAGAGCAGAATGTGGTACTTCAGCGCCCGGGGGACCCTGTTGATCACGAGCCGCCCGTCGTAACTCAGGGACGCAAAGAGCCAGGGGTCGGCGGAGGACCAGTCCACGGCGTACACGCTGTCCTCGTGCTCCTCGTACGTGGCGATGACGCCGTCCTGCGGGGGCTCCTGACTCCTGGGGGGACCAGAGACACGTCTGAGCGAGCCAAGGCCCCAGCTTCTCACCTGCGCGGGGACCGCGGGAGCGCGTGGAGCCCACGTTAGCCCGACAGCGCCTGTCCCTGCGGCCTGGACGGTAGGCGCTGGTGTGATCAGCGAGGGGCCCCTGGTTCGGGGGGTAACGGAACCGTCCCCAGGGGATGGAACGACGCCGTCAAAATGAGGAGGAGACGCTGCCTGTGACGTTGAGCAGAGGGACCTGGGCCGGGCCAGCGCAGCGCGGTCCTGCCCGTTCGGGGTCTCCTCCCTTTACGCTCTCCTTCCCGGGAAGCCTGCCCGGATGGCACAGGGCACCATGTGTGTGAGCCCCCATCCCGGGCTAACTACCCCGGCCGCAGCGGGGCTCCCCAGCCACGTGCCGGAGGCCGCAGCCTGGCCCGGCCCAGCAGTGCCGGTCGGAAAGGCAGCTCCTACTTGTCCTCCGGGCGGCGCTCCTCCTGGTCGCTCAGGTCGTCGTCGTCCACCAGGTGGCCGAAGGGCTCGGAGGAGATGGACACCATGTTGGAGAGGATGACCCTGCTGTCGCTGCTGCCCGTGAGGACCAGCTGGTCGTGCGAGTGGTTATAGCGGACGTTCCACACCCTGGGGGCAGGGAGACGGCGCTCACAGGGCTGGGACCCCTGGACAGGGAGCAGGGGTCGCCGGCACCCACCCCGAGCTGCTCTGG